TCATTGCGTGTGTTTTGTGAGATGGAGGAGGACTTTGTGGATTGGTGATGGACATACGGGTTAATGCTGGACTTGTGGGCTTGGACAGCACTGGGTTGGGATGTTTTCCTGACATGCACTTACCCTTTCTATAAAACTCTGTCTTATACATGAGCATCTGTGGATTTGTTTCTCTAAAGTACCCAGATTAACACACCCAATATGCTGGAAAACCTTTCACCCTGAGATAAACATAATCGCGAGTCCTTTATTTGGAACCTGGCCACAATGCATTCACTCATATATTCTTTTGCAGGACCAGAGACATTCTTAGGCTCTAGAGACACACCCAGAGATTAGCTAAAGAGACAGACAATTGAGCATGCATGTCAACGTTTCAAGCTAAATGCTAATAATGTAAATTTGCTCAGGATGCAGTTGCAGCAATGTGGTGGCCACCTGACACAGACTAATGGTATGGGGAGACTTCTCAGAGAGAATAAACCCTAGACCGGAGCGTCACATAGGTACACAGCCCCAAGAGGGCCTTTCTACACAAGCCTTCAGGGCACTTTTCACGTCAGAGCTCAGTAAGACTGATACACATTGTAGAATGCTATGTCTTTAGCTCACTTCAGCTATAACTCAACAGATTCTGAGTCCTTTCTAATATGCCTGTAATTATTACAAAACCTCAGCAACACCTGAACGTAAATATCCTTAGACCTTTGATTTTATAGTAGCTCTTTTCAATCTTCAGCTAAGCAAAGAACTAGTTTTGAAAACATGAAGTTGGCTTCAGAAAGGAAATCACTGAAAAAAACATTAAATTGAAAAGAAAGCAAGGCGTTAGGAATAACATCGCTCTATTTACAATAAATAGAGCTTCCCCCAAAGTTATCTAAGAATGCTTCCCAAAGCTTGCTATCAAGGTATCTTATCAAGTGGAAATCTGCCCTTAATAATTCAATAACTTTATTGAATTATCAACACAGCAAGAAGATGACAAGACAGGCTGTTTACACTCCAGAAACTCTGTTGCAACATTAATTGATTAATCACCAGAATTCAGTTCATCACTTGGGAGAAAAAGTATGTTTTTCATAGAATTAAAGATGAGGAGGGGCCTTAAACACATACAACTACACCTCCCAGAAGGCAGGGATCACATCTACATTATTTCTACTGTGTTCCCAGTGCCTCACGCCTTATATGGGAAGAAATGGTTAAATGAATAATGGAATATATACAGTTAGACCATGATTCCCAGTGGTTCGCCAGTTCTGTAACAATGTAATTTGTCAGTGATGTAATGATGTGACCATCCTCCTAGAATTTGATCAGTCAATCAGTTGTAAGGGAATTAAGGTGAGAGGCACAGCCCTTTTTAGATCACAGTCCTGATCCAGTGTAAGAAGAGTTTTCCTGTCCTGTGCTCTAAGTCACACCCTCTTTTATCTGAGGGGATTTACAAAGCGAGTGGCGTGAGCAGACATAGAAGGACTTGGCTTCCACAGAAGAAGAGCATCCTTTTGACCCAGGTCCCTACTCTGAGCGTCTCCGAGACCCAGGAGAAGATTGACATCCAGATACATGGAGCTCTCCAAGATACGAGGTCCAAAGATTTTGAAAGGAGGAAAAAGACCCTCCCCCTGAGTCAAGGGAGAGAGGTCTCCCCGTGACAGCTGATGCCCTGAATTCAGCTGAATTCAGTTTTCTAATCTCTTTGGATGTGTAGCCTCCCAACTGTGCAAGAATACATTTTTCCATATTAAAGGGATCCAGCTGTAGTCTTTCTGTACGGCAGCACTGGATAATGACATTTCTCTTCACCCATCTCCTTCAACAAATGATCATATCATCTCTGCAAGTGTTTAGGAATGCAAAGGCCACTCATGAGAATCACTAATCTTCTTTTATAGCAGCAAGTTATGCAGCTTAAATGTCGGTGTCAGTTAGTTACAGTGAAGGTCCAAACCACCCATTCGATTCATGTAAGGACCACTAGTGTCATGTTACCTCTCCACCTCACTCACCTTTCAGATGTTTGATAGCAATCTACTAAGCTAGCTTGTGAATAAAAACCACCACAGACCATGTTTTCTGTAGACTTTGGACCAAAAGTTTCCTTTGTGGATTAATCAGTTTTAGTCATCAGGTTAATGCCTCACAATGATTATGAAGTATGCCAGATAATTACCTTCTTCACTATGGAGGTTCGTGACAATTTTGAGGAGCCAAGCAGAGGGAAATACTAAAATTCCCACTTTCAAGCATTTTTTCCCTCTCTGCATTTTGGTTAGGGAACTTTTAGCAAACACACATACCTATAGTCATGCAAGTACAATCTAAAATGCTCCTCACACATTTATCATTGACCGACAGGCTAGAACCCACACATCTTTAGGAATCCTGTAATTATTTTTCTTAGTAAAAATCTTCTTTACCTTTGAAGTTTACCACACCAACTGCAGTTGAAGCCAATCTGAGAGGAAACACAGGAGCCACACTCCATAAACTGCAGGCATGCTACGGAAGAGAGGGAGGGGGCGTCAGAGTCGCCAGGATGAATTTGATGGCACAAGGCACACAAGTGGAAGCTTACTTGAAATAAAAATTAACTAGGAATACAAATGAATTAAAAATAAAGATGAACTAAAGATTCACCCACCCACCACCATATACACTCAGGGTCAAACCCATGCCACAAAGTACCCATAGCACAATGCTATCATTCTTGGTTAGTTTATTTTGCAGTTGGCTCTATTGGATTGCAAGAGCACGAGTGTTTAAAGGGATCCATTGCTGGCCAAAGAGTCAGCAGTTCGAAGCTACTAGTCACAGCACGGGAGAAAGATGAGACAGTGTACCATCTTAGACACTATGGAACCGTTTAGACACTAGGGAACCGTTCTATTCTGTTGTGTAGGGTCACTGTGAGTTGGCATCAACTAATTGGCAGTTGGCATGGTTGGGCTCAGAATGGTCACATATGTGAACTTACTAGGTAACGGAGTCATCTCCACAGCTGAAATGTTGGTAATTTTTGACATTTGTAGTTCTACTCGATGATACTCATAAATTGTTCTTCTTCGGACATCTATGAAACAAAGAAGAAAGACAAAGATAAATGTCAGCACTTCCTCACCTATGTCACAATAGGGTGTTGACATGTGGAATGTTTTCATCTGATGCACATTTAAAACAAAGTCTCACCCTGTGGGGAGACTGATTACAAAATACTGAAAGTCCTGTGCTCTTGTATCTAGAAGATTTTGTTTTTGTTTTGTTTTTATCAATCAAGGTGAATACGCAAATTCTCTGTGGGTCTGTGATACCTCATGTAGCTGTTGGGGCTGTGAACAATCAAGAGTTTACTTATGATACCTTCTTGCCTGATTTATATATTCTGAAGATTTTGACACATGAAATCAAGAAATCATTTCATCTGAATTAAAGCCAACGTCAGTCCTCCGGGAATGGAAAATGTCTGGAAAAATTCACAGACTAATAAAGTTGGATTATTTCAAAATGATACTTGGATTGCTTTAAATGTTTAGAATAAAGTTTTAAATGAAAATAAATCAGCTTAAATAGTTTTAAACGTACTATTGCTATTTAATAAGTATATATTACATAGAAGATTAATAGCACTTACTGCAAACAGCATCTTAAAATAATTTACAAGAAGAGGTTGTATGGAGACTTTAACAAGAATTTCAACAATTAAAATCAAGTAAATACAACCTTGGCACATTTTTATAAGACTATTGATGAAATATATATATTTAAACCTCCTATAAAAAAAGAGATTTATGATTTATACTATTCAGTCTGCCTGTGTTTGGGTAGATGGAAGTGGAAAAACAATCTTATCACTATTTTATTAATCACTTGGAATGCTTTTAATGATAGGAATGCATTTCATGGAGAATATACCATCTATCAGAAATTGTCTGGAAAGTTCAAAAAATATCAAAGTACCCCATCTTGGGAAGCAGGAGGCTACTATGTTATAATCATACATGTACCAGTATGTTCAAATCACACTTTTTTGACGAGTAGCATTTCCATGGCTTCGTTTCCTCCACTTTGAACTAGGAAAAGTGGTACCTGCATTTGTTCAGTTGTATACAGGGTCACTATGAGTCAGAACAGAGTGAACGGCCCCTCACAACAAGTCATGCTACTATAGATGAGGTCATTCATGATTTTTTTTCATATTGTTCGATCAATGTTAGATATAATTTTTCCTTATTTTAATATGGCAACCCTAGATCATACTGGTAATATCATGTACAGAAACAATCCATATTCAGTCGGTCAGAACTCATCGAAAACCACACACTATCCGTGGGATGAAACATCTAGAAAATTGCTCCTCTTCTTATGATAGAGAAGGTCAGACTTTGACTATGCCAACAGCTCCAAAATAAAGGACCGCATTAGCTCTCGTGAGAGCTTGTCGTCCTGTGGTAAGAGTGCTTAGGACAGTGGTTCTCAACCTTCTTAATGCCGCGACCCCTTAAGACTGTTCCTCATGTTGTGGTGATCCCCAACCATAAAATTATTTCCGTTGCTACTTCATCACTGTCATTTTGCTATTGTGATGGATCCGCGACCCCTGTGAAAGGGTTGTTTGACCCCCAAGGGGGTCACGACCCACAGGCTGAGAACCACTGGTTTAGGGGAAGGTTGATACCTACACATCTAGGAAACTGCAGAGGATAGGCAAGTATTTCCTTATATCATACAAATGTCTGTCTTTACCCTACCCTTTTCCCCAGTTCCTAATTATTTATAATGACAGGGAAAAAAAGATAGAAGAGGTGTTAGAGTCACCCACTAGAGATGCCTTCAGGTTCATCAGACTGGAAACACTGTTTTGTTGTAATTTAAGGGGGAATATGAACATTTCAAAGTGCAAATTTAAAAATCAGACAAAATAATGGTCATCATATTTAGTAGTGCTTCTTGAGGCACATGAATCATGTATGTATATTATTAAACTCAAAAGACAAAAG